GCTACGACTATTACTGCTACGACTATTACTGCTACTGCTACTGCTACTGCTACTGCTACCGCTACCGCTACCGCTACCGCTACTGCTACTACTACTACTACGACTACTACGACGACGACGACTACTACTATTGCTACGAATACTACTACTACTACTACTACTACTACTACTACTACAACTACTACTACTGCGACGACGACGACGACGGCAACTACTGCTACAACTCTTATTGTTCATATTGCAGTACTGCTGCTATACGTAATGTTGCGGGATCTCGGGCGTGCGTGTTTTTCGCTCAATAGATTCGACGCGTAAAGCAACAGCAGATCTACTTGGCTGCCAACCCAGAAGGTGAACATCGAGCTTCTGGCGGTGCCAAATCAGCAGGTCAAGATTACCGTAAGAAATCTATCCTCCCAAACTCTTTCACGACAAGCATCCCTTCGGCCTCTCCGAGATGCAGGCCCTGTAGCACCGTTGCAACTCGCCGCTATTTCTGTCATTGTAAAAGATACGCTTCGGTGGAAGGTTGCAAATCGTAAAGCATTCAACAGCTTGTCAGGATTTGCCACGCCTACGGTTTTCATGTGCTGTCCAAAGTCCGACCTGCAATGCCCACACCCGAGGCAGACCAAACCTCGGGGCTGTTGAAGGTCGTGCGGGGGCCGGAGACCTGCGTATCCTTGGAATCGGCCGCTCACTTAAACATAGCGCACGAAAAGGAAGGTACCACGATGAGCAGCAGCACGTGGTCATGGTACAAGCACGTAGTGCTATTGGAAGAAGCAGAAGAAAAAATATGAGCATGAGCTGGAAACAGCACATGAACACTGCCCGGCCTAATGCAGTCATAGGTGGTGATAGTAGAAGTAGCAGACAGGCGCACGAGCAGCAATGCCTTGACCAGTAAAAAGCCTCCTGCGCCTCCAGCCACGACTGCTACTACGAAGACTACGACTGCGACGACGACTACCACTACTCCTGCTGCTACTCCTGCAAATTCTGCGCTCTTGATACTTCTGCTACGGCTATGGCGACGGCGGCGGCGACTCTGCTACTGCTCCTCCTCCCCTCCCCTCCTTCTGGTCATCGTTGTCGTCGTCGTCGTCGTAGTAGTAGTAGTATAGTAGTAGTAGTCGTAGTCGGAGTCCTAGTCGTAGTTGTAGTAGTACTCGCAGTAGTAGTACTAGTAGTAGTACTAGTAGCAGTAGCAGTAGCA